ATTATTTTAGGAGATATTACAATATGATTTTGCCACTATAAATTATTATTTATAAATAAAATTAAAGCAATTAACTTTTACTATGTTGTTTATTATCACTAAACTTACATAATATTATTTCGAAATAAATTACACTTTCAATTGCATTAATTATTTATGCATAATATGATATTATCAAAATACTACAACTTAATACAAAATTCATGTTAGACTTGCATAAAATGATTACTATAGTGGAGTTTCATTATAGGATCTAAAATTCAAATTAAACAACATTGAGGTTTAAATAAAATTTTAAATTGACATTTTTGATAAAATGAATCAAATATCTGAATATAGTTACTTTAATATTAATGATCCACCTTTAATTTATTATCGTATATTGCCGTTAATTGCATGTCGAGAAAATATAGCTTACCATTGTAATAATAGCAAGTATACAAGTGATAATATTTTAGTAATTTTCAACAAGGTAAGGTAATAATTGTTATACCAATTTTATATGCAAATTCTTAAAGCCAGGACATATTTATTATATTTTAATTAATAATAGGCACAACGTTACGGTTTTGGTCAAGTTATATCAATTATTAAATATCTTACATGTGTTTTACATAAGATTGTTGTTTATTCATCAGATGTTAATTTAATATACGAGGTAAATTAATCAAACTATCTGTTTACATAATATATTTGATGCAACAAATCAAATGAAGAATTTCATATTATAAGTAATAATCTAAAGGTTTTTAATATTTTAAGAGTTACAAATAAACCAATACAAAGTTTGTATAGATATAACTTTTTAGATATTTACTATAAATATGAAATTGTTCTTAAGATTTGTTGCCTAACATAATATATTGTATATTTAACTATTATTAGGGACTGACACCAATTCATCCAGCATTATCAGTGTTGTTAGAGTATAATTATACTGGTGTTCCGGTTGAAAATTATTATTTACTGCAAATAGTCAGTGGACTACAATCAGTGAAACATGATTCGTACTTTAACTTTATTAAACTTTTTGATTTAGCGGTAATCTTATATAAAATTTTCATTATGTCAAATAATTGAGTCTATATGATTTTTCTATAGATATGGGTTAACCTGATTGTATTTATAATTATGGTATCACTTATAATAAAGGTTTTAAACAAAAATGAGATTAATGTAATGAACGTGGTTGGTGAAATGCTTGGACTATTAATAAATCAACCATCGACAATATTAAACAAAATGTCAGCACTGAACCCATTATATGAACAAATGGTTGTTTATATCTGGATATTATGTACACTAGTTATAACCCAAGCATTTGCTGGATGTTTATTAAATATGTATATTAATATTAAAACTATGCCAATAGTTAATACATTGGATGATGTTGTAAATAATAATAACATGTTAGTTTTATCTAGATATGCTGATATTGATTTGATACTATCGTATAAAATTCCTTCACACTATGAAAGTATGCTTAATATTATAAAGCATAAAACTATCTTGTTAGAAAAAGAATACGGAATTATCAGCAAAAAGAAAGATATTTATAATGACATAACTCTTATTAAGTCAATGATCAAAGGAAAAATTATTTTCCTTTTAAGAGATATAGATATTAAAGATTTGTTAATAGTATATAAAGCATATGAAAATAGATTCACAATTACTTCCAAATATTTTTGTGATTATAAATATTATGTCGTGAAAACTGGACACAAACTAGCAGGTTCACTATTATACATGTACGAGCAAATTAAGTAATTTTTGTTTATTATAAATAGATTTTAAATGCATAACTTTTTAAATTATAGGTATAAACGTATTGTTGAGGCTGGACTACGCTATCACTTCAATATGGTATATCATATATTATTTGATAACTATATGTATAAAACTAAACAATTAAAATTAACAAATGAAAATATTGATACTGTTGTCAATATTTGCAACTCTATTAATCTGCATGAAATTTTTAAAAATATTTTCTCATTGTTATTTTGTGGATATTTTATTTCAATAATAATTATAATAATTGAAAAATTATTTATGAAACTTTATAGCTAAATATTGTTTTTATTACAACTATTACAAATATATTTATAAAATCTTAACCAGTTGTAATTAATTAGTAAATATGTTTATGATTTCTAAATGATTTATGGGTTTTTAAATATATTATTTAATTAAAGTAAGTAATGTAATATTTATATAAATGTTTTACAAATATATAGTTATAGTTCATTTAACATAATTAAAAACAAAATTTATTTTATTAATTATATCATCATTTTTACTAACACTTAATTAATTGAAATAAAATAATTTATTGTATATTAGTTTAAATGCAGCTAATTATTTATATAATCTATTTATTATATTAAATTAATTATATGTTTCAATTTGAATTGTAGTTGAATTGTAATACTTTTATTTGTAAAATAACATACCTTATATAATTTGTTTGTGAGTACATCATAATGATATTAAGTGTGAGAGAAACCAATTAATTAAATTATATAACAATATACTAATTAGTATAACATTTACTAATTATAAAACTATTTGTAATTATGGCACTTAAAATTAATTGATAACAAAATATTCATCATTATTGTATCGACATTATTAATAGTGCATTAAAATATCTAATTATCCTCTATAACCATAAAAGATAATTAATAATATTAAATAAATTAATTTACGACTAATTAATTTAATATATTTATTGCTATAATTAATCCGCTTTTCGATATTAATCTAATAAACTATAAATTGTATACTGTATTATAAAATATAATATAATATAATTATTAAATACTGGTTTTGATTAAATATATTTAAATAAATCTTTTAAAATAACTATACTATACTAACAATGTTAATAAATATGAATTCTACAGAATATAATTTGAATCCCATTGCGATCATGGATAAATATTTTTTTTATTGCCACACATTTGAACATAAATATATTACAGCTATATACATTTCGGTGAGATTTTGAATATTCGTGTAAATTCTATCAAGATATTATTAATTTTATTTAAATTAAAGCATCCAATAATGGTATATGGAAGTATGCTATCAATTATTGAACATGTCACATGTAATATAAACATTGTAATTGCATTTACGTCAATGGTTAAATATAAAACACATGTAAGTATACATTGATATATTTTTTGAACAAAAATGATATAATTTTTTATAATTATTTTTTTATATTGTATTAATTAATTTATTGAATATAGGATGACTTTTTAATATTTCCATATTACTCAAATTATTTGGATTTTAGCAGAAATTACACTGGTGTTGCCACTGAAAACTTTTATCTCATGGAAATCATAAGTGGCTTAAGTTTAAAAATAGATAATTCTTACTTTATATTCTTTAAGCTCTTTGATTACCAGGTACATTTCATAATTTTACCAATCCCTTTCATTAATAAATTCATATTTCTATAGATATGGGCAAATATAATTATATTTTCAATTTTTGTAACTATAATTTTAAAAGTATTATATCAAACTAAACTCACTCTGATCAATTTATTTNTAGATATGGGCAAATATAATTATATTTTCAATTTTTGTAACTATAATTTTAAAAGTATTATATCAAACTAAACTCACTCTGATCAATTTATTTATGGAAGTTTTAACACCTTTAATAAACCAATCGTCAAATATATTGAACAGAATCTCAACACAGAATCCAATGTATAACCAAATGGTAGTCTATATCTGGATATTGAGTGCATTAATCATAACCCAATCGTTTGCCGGATGTCTACTCAACACGTATTTTAACAGAAAATATGTGCCAATAATTAGTTTATTAGAGAATATTAAAGATAATAATAAAATTCATGTGCTGGCTAAACCACTTGACATAAGAATGATTAAGTTTTATACATCCGAATATAATGATATATTAAATGTTATACTTAACAAGCATAAGCTACTAGAAAATAGTTTAAATGTAAAAAATATTCAAAATGTTGATTTAATGTACAAGGCTGACACTTTTAAACTAATTATTGACGGCAAGATGATCGTACTTGCCAAAACAGAATTTATCAACAATTTTAAATTACTTTATAAATCGTATGAAAATTTATTTATTATTAGTCAAAGTAAATATTTTTATGATTATAAATTTTATATAGTTCGCACCGGGATCAAATATACAAAACAATTTATTTATATGTGAGTAGTAAACTTAAATTAATAATTTTAAATAAAATATTTAAAATAATCTCATTATTATTATTATTATTATATAAATTATATCAGGTTTAAACGTATTTTTGAAGCTCGTTTATATTACCAGGATAAAATGTTTTTAAACAAAATCTATGACAGAGATGAAGTTAGAAATATTTACGGCATATCTAACAAAATCTTTCATAATGAACCCACAATTTTCCGTAAACTTACCTTGGTTGAGATATTTAAAAATATATTATCATTATTATTATGGGGACACTTGGTATCTCTATTACTATTTATATTGGAGGTTATCATTAATCAATTGTACATATAACTCCACCAAAGTTTATTTAAATTTTTATTAAATAATTGAAAATGAATTTTAAATGACACATTCTACGGATATTTACAGTTTGTAACTCTTTATGATATTTATTATTTTATTGATAGTAATTAAGCTAATTAAAACACTTTTTATTTTAGAAAAATTGGAACTGTGAATTATATTTTTATAACTTTCCCCTGATTACAGATTTTTATTTATAAAATTTATATGCATATGATTATTTGCCTACCATATTATTGTTTACTAATAATGTAACAAAAAATTTCTTATATTTTTCAAACAAATTCATAATAATGTAATTGAATTGTATCATCATTAATAATAAAACTTTAAAGTAATTAATTAAACTGTACCCTTAACATAATCAAATAAAATATTAATAAAATTATTTATATTAAAATTATTTTAATCTCATTAGCACTGAAATTAGTTCACTTGACGACATTATTCTAATAAAATAAAACCTTTACATATGTTGTATAAAATAAGAATTGATGTCAAATGGGGTTTGAAGACTACCTCTCGTTTTTTGCTTACAGTATTTACTGTCAAATTAAAATAAGGGATTTTTGATTACAGAGTATCCGCTATGATCTCGTCGTTTCTTAAGACCCTTCAAGATAACAAAGACACTAATTAAGACCACGATTAATGAGACCATCACTAACAGTGCTATAAGACCACCACTCGGACCAGGAGGTTTTGGGGTAGGTATGGGATATGGGGGTACATATGTCGGATAAGTTGTCTGGTGTGTTGTATAGGGTATCGTAGAAGGTGTTGCCGATGACGTCGTGTGATGTGTTGGTGTGATAGTAGTGGTAGGGGTTAGAGGGCAACCATTTTCATCATCACCTTCGGGACAATTTCTGTGTCCATCGCATTGGTATGCATTTGAAATACATTGTTTTCCGTCAGGTGAACTGCATTTTGTATTATTGTTCGAGAAACAATATCCAAAACTCGGGGCTATAATATATATATAATTTCCATTTATAACAACTAATATACAAATATAAATCATATTGTAGTAACTTATGATACCTTCAAATTGAGTTACAATTAATGTGAAGCTTGAATTACTAGAATTTGCCGCATGAAATCCAATGTCTACGTGGGATTGTCCGGGAAACTCTATCCCAGAAATATCGGTCTTATTTCTGCACCATTTGGTAGCCGTAGAGTTTGAACCTTGGATTAAGACATAATCACTACACGTCTCATTGTCATGACTGCCAATATGGATGTCATCCATGGCTACAATGAGACCATTTTTAGAGGAAGTGGACATTTCGACTCTCACCACACAATC